ATTATCATTATCAATTTATTATTATCGTTACTACTTTGCTTATTGATATTATCCTTATTATTGTTCTTTTACCATCCTCATATTTGATATTTTCACTATTGTTATTCTTGTTATCATTCATGTTACCATTATTATTGTATTATCTTTTCATTATTATTGTATTGTTACCATTCTTATTATCATTAATATTATTGATTTTATTGTTATTATAACTATTGTTGTATTGTTCTTATGATTGTTAACATTATTATCGTTATTACTATTATCATTATGGTTATCGTTATTCTTTATCATTAGTATCATCATTATCATCATTCTTAACATCATCATTATTGTTCTTGTTTTTGTTATTTTGTTATTATTAACATTACTATCATCATTATCATTCTTGTTATTATTATCATTACTATTGTTATTTCAATTTTCATCATTATCATTACTATCATCATTATTCTCATTTCTGTTATTATTAACATCATTGTTGATGCTGTCGTTGTTATTACTTCTACTTTAATCTTTACTATTTTCATTATCATCATTATTATCATTATCATTATTATTATTGCCTTTATTATTATTGTGTCATTACTATTATCATCATCATTATCATTATCGTTGTTACTATCATCATTATTATTTATTAATTGCTTTTATTATCATTATCATTACTATCATAGTCATCATTATTATTATTATTAGCATTAGTATTGTTATTATTATTGCTGTTTATTGCTATTATTATCATTGCCATCATCATCATTATCCTCGTCATCATTATCCTCATCATCATCATTATCCTCATCATCATCATTACCAATTATCATCAATATCATTATCATTGTTGTCGTTGTGCGCCATCTATTGCCCGCAGAGTTCCCTACCTCTTTGTTTACATCAGCCACGTGCGTCAAGAAGCACGTGTATTGCGCCATCGTCGATCAGCTGATCACTTGCAAAACAAACATGATGGTGATAGATAATGAGATAGTAATAATTAATGATTATATCTTCATGATTAGATGTGAAGACGAAATCTATTGTTTTTTTCATTAATGCAGATGAGCGTATAACAAATACATAGTGTTATTGTAGTTATTGGCGAATTCTTTGGCATCTTTTTTCGTGTTTGCTCTTTGAAAATCGTTTTTGTTGTTGTAGTTGTGTTGTTATTAATGTTATCGTTCTTAGTTACTACTAGTACTGCCAGAATTAATATATTATCGTTATGTAACTGATTGCAACTATCATAATTATTTACTTTATAGCTATTAACATTATAAGTATCTTATGACTATAATCGTAAGCATACAATACTATATACTACTAATGATAATACTGTACGTGAGTATGATGATTGTTATTATAAATTATCACGTTTTTATGCTAATATATTTTGTAATATCGTCGATTTCTTTATTATTATTATTATTTCTTTATCATTACTGTTTTTTATTTCTTTTTATTTTGTTTTTTGTTTTGCTAGTTATATAATAATAATCATAAGGATAAAGATGTTTGTTATTATCATGATTATCGGGATTATTTTCATTATCATTTTCATTATTATTGTTATTGTTGTTGCTGTTTTATTATCATTATTATTATTATTATTATCATTATTATTATTATTATTATTATTATTATTATTATTATTATTATTATTATTATTATTGTTATTATTATTATTATTATTGTTATTATTATTATTATTATTATTGTCATTACTGCTTTTATTATAATTACTATTCTTATTGTTACTATTCAATATTGTTGTTGTAATCCTTATTATTACCATCAATGTTATTATTATCATCATTATCATTATCATGAATACTGTCATTACTATCATCATTACTGTCATTATAATTAACATTATTATTATCATTATTATTATCATTATAATTACTATTTTCATCATTACAATTATCATTAACATCATTATCATTATCATTATCATTATCACTATCATCAATATAATTATCATTATCATTACTAATGATAATTATCATAATCATTAGTAGTATCATTATTTTCACCATCATTATCATTATTCAACATTATGATTATTATCATTATTATCACCATTATCATCATGGGCTTTACAGTCAGCATCATAATCCATCTTATCATCACAATCATCATCATTAATAGATCACTTTTTATTATCATTATCAGCAGCAGTAAAAGCTACAATGATTCATCTTAATATTGTAACATCACAACGATTATTGTTTGCCAGCATCATTATCATCATTAACATTATTGCCATTATCATTATCATTTCCATCATTATCATTATTATCATCTTTACCATTAGCATTCTTTTTGGTTGTATCATCATTATTATAATCATTATTATTAGCATATCATCATCACTATCATTAACATAATCATAATTCAGTATCATATGTCACTACTATTATCACTATTATTATCACCATATGACGTCACAATCGTCACTATCATTATCCGAAGACAAAAAGGTCATGAAAATACAACGAAAACCGAAATTGTTTATAATTATAACTACTCCAATCTCAATTGACTCGTTTTTCAACACGTTCAAATTGTAAACAGATTTCCCGCCAAAATTCGGCAGCAAAGAATGACATCGATCAGCAATCCGTCAGATCTTATTTCGCAAATATCCTTATCCATTTCAAACCATTCTATCCCAGTTTACAAATACGTTTATATATATATTTTTCCCCTCTCCGTTTCATTTTTGTTATACATATAATAAACAAACAGAAACGTCCCATATCTCAAACAATAAGACTAGAATCGGAAGAAATTTACTCCACGTAAATAGACAGACGTCCATTTTCACTCCTTCACGGGTTTGCAAGCCTGACAGCGACAACTCACGACGTTTTCGAAAGCTTTCTCGAAGGTGAAGCCGTCGTCACAAGCGAGAGGGATTTTGAGGGTCTCCAGCTTGTCCACCTGACAGCTGCTGCAGCGGTTCCCTTGGCTCCAGATACCTGCTTCCCGTTCTGGAAATAAAGGGGTAATGGTGGTGATTGGTTGGTCGTGATTGGGGTGGTGAGCATTATTTCATTTTGTAAATTTCCTTTCTTTTTTACTCACTCTCCCTCTCTCTCTCTCTATCTATCTATCTATCTATCATTCTCTCTCTCTCTCTCTCTCTCTCTCTCTCTCTCTCCCCCTCTCTCAACAGACACTCCTCTGCACTCCCTCTATATATTCCTCTCCCTCCCTTCTCACCTTTCCTCCACTCCCATCCATCTCTCTCCATCCCACCCTCTAACCTTCCTCCTTCTTACCCTCTCTCTCTCCTCATTCATGCCCCCCACCACCCATCCCACCTCATACCCACATCCTACCCCTACAACCCTTCCCACCCCACTTACCCCAATCCCACCCCACACACCCCCAATCCTTCCCCCTACCACCCCATCCCACCCCATACCCTCCAATCCTACCCCTTACCACCCTGGGACCCACCGATATAAGTCCTGGTCGCGCAGTAGCCGAGGCAGTGGCGAATAGGAGCAGTGATCGGGTGTCTGTTGGCGCAGTGACCGTGGCGGAAGGAGGTCATATAGAACATGCCGATGGTCTCGTGGTTGTCGATGACCTGAGCCTCGCATTCTCCTGTAGGGGAAGTGGAAGACGGAATGTTGAATAGAAGGGTGTCTGTGGGGGGAAAGGGAGGGGACTTTATGAGTACGTGCAGAGTGGAGTTCATATTTGTTTTTGGTGTTTAAGTGTGGGTGTGTGTTTGTGTTTTGTATGTGTGTTTGTGCTGTGTGTGTGTGTGTGTGTCTCTGTGTCTGTGTGATTACTAGTCATGATTCACTTTATGTAATTTTATCATTATGTCTTAAATATCTAATTATCAATCATATTATTCCATATCTCATATTTCACAAACCTTCACTCCAAACCCACCCCCTTAAAAACCCTTAAAACCTAAAACCAACATTCCTCCTCACCTTTCTTAACCTCCTGATCACCCTCGTCTTCCTCATCTTGCAGATCATCGTCTTCATCGTCGTCGTCATCAAAGCGGGTGGTCTGCATGTTCCTGAAGCTGCTGTTCTGGCTCTCCTGACCTTGGACGTCAGCAACCTCCACCTGCGTCGGGGTATTCGTCAGCACCGAGGGCACGAGGACGGCTTCCTGTGTCGAGACGTCCCTCTCGACGGTCCCTTCTGAAGCACGGAGGGGGAGGGTGAAGAAATCTCTCCTTTTTTAGGGGGTGCATTTAGGTGTACTGTTTGTTTGCTTTGGACTATTTGGTGTACTATGTTAGTTCGATTTGGACTATTTGGTATACTATGTTAGTTCATTTTGGACTATTTGGTGTACTATGTTAGTTCATTTTGGACTATTTGGTGTACTATGTTAGTTCGCTTTGGACTATTTGGTGTACTATGTTAGTTCATTTTGGACTATTTGGTGTACTATGTTAGTTCGCTTTGGACTATTTGGTGTACTAAGTTCATTTTGGACTATTTGGTGGACTATGGGTCATTTTATTTGTCTTTGTGGGTTTATTTTGATTTAGTTTTTGTTTATATTCGATAGATAAGTCACCATTACTTGGACCATGAATTTAGTCACTGTCTCAATTATTCTTCGTTTTGGTTGAATATTTTGCTTGTATTTTTGTATTTGCTTTTGTTTGCGTTAAACAACTAAACCATGAATTTGGCCCCTGCGCTTCCTTTCTCTCTCTCTCTCTCTCTCTCTCTCTCTCTATATATATATATATATATATATATATATATATATATATATATATCCATATATATTCTCTTTTCTTTCTTTATCTTTCTCAGTTGTTTGGGGGGAGGAGTTTGCTTTTGTATTCGTTATGGTTTACTTTAGACAACGAAAATTTCCAGCCTTACTTGAACCATTGGACGTCGGGGTTTCCTCGATCCAGGCGTTCTCGTGCTTCTTCATTTCCTCGACGAACGTGAGGACTCGCTCCAGTTTCTGCTCGAGGTTGGCCACCGAGGCGTTCACCACTTCGGCCGTCTGGGAAATCGGGAGGAAAAACACCCATTAATTTTCTGTTATTTATATCTATTTATTGGTTATTTTGTTTATCTTCTTTATTGTTTGTTGTTTTTTTGTTTTGCTTTGCTTTGCTTTTTTTTTTTTTATTTATTCACTGATCTATTCATCTTATCAAAATTCTTAATATTATTGCGTGTATGTAGGCCTGCATACTGTCCTGGCTACCGTCTGGCAGTACGGTTCCTTTCCCCCCGGATCTGCTGAGGGTGTTGTCCCCCCTCTCTGGAAGGGGGAGGGGGGTCGTTGGGACTGTTGCGACTGTCGTGGCATTTCACTGAGCAGGTTTACGCCCACATTCTTCCGAGATGGATCCTCGACCACCAACTATGGTACCAAGGACAGGAACAGTCTCGATTTATTCCTGGCAAGTCCACAATAGACTGTATCCTAGCGCTTCTAGTCATTGTGGAACGCCGTCGTGAGTTCGGTCGTGGGCAGCAGTCGTTTGACTCTGTGCATCGAGAATCGCTATGGGAGATCCTGAGACTCGGGAATTCCGACACGGATTATTGGTGTAATTGCAAGCCTATATACTGGTACTGAGAGTGATCTGAAGGGGCTTGTCGAGCTTCTTCCCTGTTAACGCTGGAGTGAGGCAAGGTTGCGCCCTTGCACCAACACTTATCACCGCTTGCATGGACAGAATAATAAATAGAGCTACAACGTCAGTGTGGAGCAACACTGGACAACATCAAAGTCAAGGACCTCGACTTTGCCGACGATGTTGTTATTCTGTCTGAGTCTCTGGAATCTCTGGTGGTGGTTCTTGATGCATTCAGCAATGAGCCAAAGACCTTGGGCTTAGAGGTCTCCTGGACCAAGACCAAGATTCAATATTTTGGGGACCTGTTAGAGGAACTTGTTCAATTGATACATGCTTGCGGTGAGGACGTCGAAGTCACATAGAACTTTAGATACCTTGGTAGTACAATCCATGTCTCTGGGTTGTCAGACCAGGGCCCGGATTCACTAACGCACTTACGACGGTAAAATGACTGGTAACTATAGTTACCATGGTAAACAGACAGTGGTAGTATTCACTAACAACTTGCCATTGGAGTTACCATGGTAAATTTTATCAGTGGTCAGAGCACTGGTAACTTCTGGGAAGACGATGTCATCACGTGTTATCTCGTCAAAAAATCAATATCTATGCAAAGTTTTGGGTTTGTTTTTACACCTGATATAACTAATATGATGGCAAACATATATTACAATGCGGACATAGTGAAGAAATGCAAATTTCACATGAAACTAGCAAGAATAAAATCAACACAAATTCTCGTAAACTTATAGGCCTACATTATACTAGAATGCATGGAACCGATAAATAAGTGAACTTTAAAAAAAAAATCTCTGACATAATTATTACAAATGCTATAGAAAAAAACTACCTTGCTGATATATAAACTGGCAATGATGAAAAATATATAAATAAAAAGCTGTTTGGACTGTCTCTGGTTTGAGTTAACAATAATATATTAATATAACAGTGTTTGTATTGGTTCGTATCTATACAGTGAATATATATCCAACATGATGGATGTAATCAAATAAATATATTCTTTTTTCTACATGTGCTTAAATAGTGTTTTAGCTCTGACAATTATTTAAACAATCTCTCTGTGTCTAGTTCTGTTTACATGTTACGTGATTGGCCGAAGTAACCTAAAAGATTATGTATGGCGCTCGCTGATTGGTGGAATTGCTTTACTAGAGCCCTCTGTTGGCTACCATTAGAATGAGTCGATTTACGAGCGTATCCAAAGTACCATTTCTTCGTGAATACCACTTTGCCATGACTGGTAAACGCAATGGTAAATGACCGCTGGTAAATGCGTTACGATCGTATGTTAGTGAATCCGGCCCCAGGAAGTCAGTGGACGGATTGGCCTAGCAGCCGGACCCATGAACTCTGCCAACAAAAGTTTTTGGAAGTGCCGCATGATGTCTCTGCAGGACGAAGTTATATGTCTTCACGGCCTTGACGCTGCCATTTTGCTCTATGGAAGCGAAACCTGGACACTATCCAGTGCCTTGGAGTCACGTCTCAAAGCCCTTTGTAACAAGTCCCTACACCGGTTCATCGGGCACAGGTGGCAGATCCATGCGTCCAACCGACGACTTCACCGTGAGACTGGCATGGGACCTGTTACTTACATAATCCGTGACTGCCAACTCAGGCCATACGGGCACCTGGCTCGTTTCCCCATGGATGACCCTGCCCATCAGGTTCTCTTCACGAGACAATACTGCATGGAGTAAGTCCTTAGGCAGACTTATCTGTTTCTAATATTTCTTATTGTTGTTTCGTAATATATGAATATAAAGAAGACTTTCCACTTGGCCTAACCTAACAACAATAATGGTAATACTATTATTAAGGATATCAATATCACCATTGATACTGTTATTGTTATTATCATAAATACCGCTAGTAGTTGTAGT